CTCTTTCTTTCTTTCTTTCTTTCTTTCTTTCTTTCTCTCTTTCTTTCTTTCTTTCTTTCTCTCTCTCTCTTTCTTTCTTTCTCTCTCTCTCTTTCTTTCTTTCTTTCTTTCTTTCTTTCTTTCTTTCAAGACTTTATTTATTTGACAGAGGAGAGAGAGTGTGTGTGTGGGCGCACAAGCAGGGGGAGTGGGAGAAGGAGAGGCAGGCTCCCATGCTGATCAGGGAGCCCGATGTGGGGCTCGAGCCCAGGACCCTGGGATCATGACCTCAGCCGAAGGCAGACGCCCAACAACTGAGCCAGGCACCCCAATATTGTCTTTTTCTTTATGGTGACACATCTTTTGTTACTCAGATCCTTAGGAATATAATAAGTAGGAAAGAAAACTTTGGCTTTCTCTTAAAGAGTTGTGACAACTAACATCCCACAAAGTTTCTGGGTTTCTAAAGTATGTTGAACTTGAAAAAACTTTTCCTTCCAGGATATGCTTAAAAACAAACCATGAAAGGGCGACTGGGTGGCTCAGGTGGTTAAGGATCAGCCTTCGGCTCAGCCCTGATCTCAGGGTCCTGGGTTTGAGGCCTGGGTTGGGCTCCTTGCTCAGTGGGGAGTCTGCTTCTCCCTTTCCCTCTGCCCCTCCTCACCCCTGCTTGTGCTATCTCTCTCTCAAATAAATAAAAATCTTAAAAAAAAAAAAAGTGAAAAATTGTATTCCTTTAAAATAATCTAGAACTTATTCATGGAGATTCTATTTAGTCTAGTGTTAGCCCATATTTGATTACTTCAGAATTTGAAGTTTATACACTTTATTTTTTGGATGCTAATTTTAGCAAAATAATTGATAACTCCCAGTAACAGTTTGGACCTTTGATTTTTTTTTTTTCTGGTATCAGGTGTACAGGAATTGAATTAACACAAATATGTACTTGCTAGTGCATTTTCTGAATTGATCGGCTGTTTTTTTCTCACGGGCAACCTACCTGCTCTTGGATGGTACTACAAATAGCCTTATGTACTTTTAAATATTCTAATTACTTTGGTATGTGCTGCTAGCAGACACGCATGTGTGGGAGCTCACACACAATTGGGAGTTCACACACAGTTGTTCCGTCTGGGTATTTTTTCTACTTTAAAGCCAGAGATTACTTTTTTAATTTCTTTCTTATGTTTTCACAATACCTCACCTATATATTCAAGAATTGCCCTAACCTTTTGGTTTTAATGGATTTTATATAACAAGATGAAGTACTTTGATGTAGGAGAGTATTTAAAGCTTCCCTGCCCCCTCTTTCCTCACCACTACCTTCCCTGCCTCCTTTCTTACTTCTCAGGCATCTTCCCGTTCTCCTCTTTCCCGTCCTTTTCTTATGATGGCCCAGTTATCTGTGTTTCTGTCTAGAGGTGCACAGATGAAAAGGCAGGGAAAGGAATCCCTCATCTGGAGTGTAAGCAGACATGTAAATAGGTGCTTTCAATGTGAAAGGTTAAAGGGAATCTCTTCTTAGTGTCCAGAAAAATATCATTGATGATCATTTTTTTCAGCTTTTATCATAAATTTACTTTTTACAGGTGGTGCCTTTTGCCACATACCTGGTAATGAGGGCTGGCTGATGGGAAATCCATAAAAGAGTATTAATGGAACAATTTGGACTTACCGAAGCACGCATCATAGTTTCACGGCCTTTTTTTTTTTTTTTTTTTAATCTATAAAACGTAGTCATTTTCTGCTGGTTTATCTGATAAGATACAGCAGAAGATACTGTGTATTTTGTCACTTGAATATATTTGAGAATTGTGTGCAAAGTGAGAAGAGGGATGCGGTTAGAGTCTTGAGCGTTGGCATTTGCGGGTGGGTAGAGAAAGGAATACATAAGGAGACTAAGAAAGGTAAATGAGAAATGAGAGCCAGGAGGGTTGGTGTCACCAAAACCATGGGTTTTTAAAGTTTCATGATTTGCTGTGTCTGCCATGTAGGCCCTGTAAAATATATAGTAAAAGGATGGATGGCTTTGGCAGTTATGTAGTCAGGGTGACTATACCTTGAGCAGTTTCAGTGGAGTGGTGAATTTGAGGTTTCAGCAGTTTGAGTTATAAATGGGGGTTGAAATGAAGATACTGAATGGAGGGTTCTTGGTATATTGGCTACAGCTAGCTGCAAAGGGAGAAACTGCTGCATCTAGGAAGGGAGGAGAGAAGCATTTAACAAGAGCCTATCATAAAACTCAGTGATACTGTCTGTGGTTTTAAAAAGTGTCTTTCACGTACCACGCACTCTGTTTTGTTCACAAACATTATGCAGAGAAGGATGTTAAATTGAAAGACCAGTTCAACCAGAGGTGATGGTAGTTAACTATATGCTGTCCAGTTAGCTCTTTTACTTTGTTTTTCTTTCTTTCCTTTTTCCTCAACAACCAAAACAGAATTATCACCATTTTAAATTTTTTAATTTGCTCTATTAGCGCTCTAGAGGAGAATACAATCAAAACTTATATCCTCAACATTAATAATTGATTTTCATAGTTTAAAATAAAATACATTTCAGTATATATTGCCTACTTTCAAGAAGGCTTTTCAACACCTTGCAGTAAAATATATACTTTGTTCTTTAATGTACTAGAGAGGTTGGATGAATATTGTTGTTGTAATTCCCTTTTTCATTCCTGCTAGTGGATTGAAACTAAGCTGGAAACAAAGCTCTCCTTGTTCAGACCATTCATCCAGAAATATGGATGATCTTCCATTAACTATTTGACCGTGTGGGACTTAGTTTTAGCAATGTTTTTTCCAAAAGGCCTTTCAGTTTTCAGATTCTCTGATTTTAGGAAAACTATAGAATCTAAGCATGCCCCAAATTAGTCGGTTTGCCTGCCTGCCTATTGTCTTTCCTTCTTTCTTTCCCTGTGCGTGTGTGTGTATGTGCATGTATGTGTGTGTGTGTGTGTGTGTGTGTGTGTGTATGTATATGTATGTGTATGTGTTTTTCCTTCTTCCTTTCTCTACCACCAGGAGCATATTATTTTGGATGTGTTTGGTTTAAGCGAAAGTGACTCCTCTATTTACCAATCCAAGGGGTTTGATATTGCTCTTTCACTGTGTCTGAACGTTTTAAAGGACGTATTTGGACGGGGTGGTGGGTGGGTGGTAACTTCAGCAATGCTGTTCATGAGCAGATTAGGAAGAGGGGAGAGGAAATTTTAGGTACCAAGGGGGAGTTAATTTGAGCTGTTGTTTCAGTTTTATAACATACCTGACCACATATTTTACCTTTGTTTAAGATGTCCTAGCTAAATGCCACTTCCTTTGTTAGAATAAAAAGTCACCTGAAGGGTCAGGACATGAATGAATGGAGGTTCAAATGATTAACCTTTTGGCAGCATGAAGGAAGTATGTTCAATTTGTTCCTACCTCTGGCCTCGTTTAGGATGTTATTAATAGTAAGTTTCTCTCTTTATATAAACTTTCGTGAATCTAAGCACTATAGAAGTATATTGTGGTATGTCAAATAGCTAATTCTTGTAGATTAATGAAAGTGATTATTCTGGAAATAAGCTGCATTTTATTTTTTTAATTTTTTTTAAAGATTTATTTATTTGTCAGGGAGAGAGAGAAAAAGAGAGAGAGAGGAAGCACAAGCAGGGGGAGCAGCATAAGCTACATCCTAAATTGAATGCTTATGTATCTCCTGCTTCATAAAATAGCTTAATTTAAGTTACCTTGCTGAAGTGTCTTAGAGTTTAGAAAAAGTGTAAAATATATGTGCCTGGAAGGTCATTTCCACTTGTAATTTCTCATATCTATAGCATGTGGGAAATTTCTATGGCAAGTTAAAAACAGACATGTCTAAGGGAGATGAATGCTCCCACTTTTATTTATTTATTTATTTATGTATTTATTCATTCATTCATTCATTCATTCATTTTTTTATTTATTTAAAGATTCTATTTATTTATTTATTTGACAGAGAGAGACACAGTGAGAGAGGGAACCCAAGCAGGGGGAGCGGGAGAGGGAGAAGCAGGCTTCCCGCTGAGCAGGGAGCCCGATGCGGGGCTCGATCCCAGGACCCTGGGATCATGACCTGAGCCGAAGGCAGACCCTTAACAACTGAGCCACCCAGGCGCCCCTCCTGCTTTTATTATAATACTATTTTTTAAAAATTTACACATCTGTATGTTTGTGTTTTTATTTATAAAATGACTTTGTAGGCTGCCCATGAAGGAGATGGGGGGACATTTCTTAATTTTAAGTTGAAAAGTTCAGCCACATTAAGTGTAAATTAGTTCTCCAGAATGGCTCAAGAATATGAGAATCCTGATAATTATAATTTCTTGTTGTAGTCTACCATGTATCTCTGGTCCCTAGATTTTTCTAAAAGGTATAATAACCATTGTTTTCTAGGGGCGCCTGGGTGGCTCAGTCGTTAAGCGTCTGCCTTCGGCTCAGGTCATGATCCCAGGGTCCTGGGATCGAGCTGCGAATTGGGCTCTCTGCTCAGTGGAGAGTCTACTCCTCTCTCTCCCTCTGTGTTCTCTCTCCCTTTCCCTCTCTCTCTCTTTCAAATAAATATAATCTTTAAAAAAAAATCTTGGGTACTAAATACAATATCTGGATTATATCCATTGGTTATCTTTTGTCTTCAGTATGGGTTAGATTTTGCTGTATCTTCATCTGTTGAATAATTTTGAATGATATTTTGGGTATTGTAAATAATGTAAGGACTCTGGATTCTGTTTTATTTCTCTGAAGAATGTTGATTTAGTTTAGTTTTTTGTTCTGATTTGTTTTAAAACAATAAACTTTATCTGAACTCAGACTCCACTTATTAATTTACACTTAGTACACTTGGCTGAACTTTCCAACTTAAAATTAAGAAATGTCCCCCCATCTCCTTCATGGGCAGCCTACAAAGTCATTTTATAAATAAGGGCGCCTGGGTGGCTCAGTTGGTTAAGTGACTGCCTTCGGCTCAGGTCATGATCCTGGAGTCCTCTGATTGAGTGTCACATCAGGCTCCCTGCTCGGCAGGGAGTCTGCTTCTCCCTCTGACCCTCTTTCCTCTCGTGCTTTCTATCTCTCATTCTCTCTTTCTCTCAAATAAATAAATAAAATCTTTATAAATAAAAACACAAACATACAGATGTGTAAATTTTTAAAAAATAGTATTATAATAAAAGCAGGAGCATTCATCTCTCTGAGACATGTCTGTTTTTAACTTGCCATAGAAATTTCCACATGCTATAGATACGTTATGAGAAATTACGAGTGGAAATGACCTTCCAGGCACATATATTTTACACTTTTTCTAAACTGTAGGACCTCCCATCTCACCTGTGGTGGGTAGCAGTTGCAGTCTTTTTTCTTCTTTTAATGTAAGGTTTCTCAACCTCAGCATTGTTGACATTATGGGCCAGATAATTGTGGACACTGTCCTCTGCACGGTAGGATGCCTAACAACATCCCCAGCCTCTCCCTGCACAATGCCAGTAGTGCTTTCCTCCTTCAGTAGTGACAACCCAGAATGTCTCCAGATATTGACAGATGTCCATTGGGAGGCCAGATTGCCCCTGGTTGAAAAACCACTGTTTTAGTCTTAGCTGCACACAATTCAGGGGGTCTACCAGAGATTTGGTCAGAATTTTATCTTGACTGTCTTCTTCTAGGCTTTTCTTTCTCATTTCTTAGCTGCTTGGTCTCTTTGAACTCAGTCCTCTGGTTCTTCAAAGCCAGAAGATTGGAGGTGGAATTTGTATGAGTTTCAGTCACTCCGTGTGGTTCAGCCTGCACTCTTGTTGAAAACTTTTTTTTTTTTAAAGGAAAGGTCACACAGTGCCATTCCTTCTTTTCAAGTGTAGACTCTTGTCCCCTCTCTGACTTCTTGCCTGCATTTAGTAACTTTATTTTTAGCAGATTTTAATATTTTCTTCACAAGTTTGGTTATTATTTTTTGCAGAGAGAAATGTGTTGGTTTGGAAGGAGCTACTTTGTTACTACCTGAAATGGAGCCTAATGAATATTTTAGGACAAAAAACTTCACAATGCTTTGTTACCCTGCTCTTATTTGTGCTTCACTTAGATTTGCATTGTTTTTCTATTAAAAATTGGATGGCTTAGCATCTGACTCTCAATTACCTTGTAGGAGAGTTTGATTTAAAAATTTTAATTAGTGAAATGACACCTATTTTCTGGGTGATTCCAGTATTTGATTTATTAATTTTATTAATTAATGGCTTTTGTGTTATGTACTCTTTTAAAAATATTAATGTTTATAGTCTCTTCCCCCAAATTTATGAGCACTGAACATCTTTTTAAAAATGTAAAGGCATGAATGGTCTTTATTATTTCTTTTCTAAGTTGACATTTATATAAAGCCTTATCCCAAGTCACTTTTAAAACTTTACAGAAATGTTCCTAAATAATCCTTGTTAATTTCCTTTAGGGAAAAACGTAGGATGAGAAATGGGACAGGACAGTAAGAGAAAGGAAGGTCCAGGAGGTTACCAAATAAAGAAAGGGCCAACTGGGTACTTTCTTTGAAAGGTGTGATGAGTGCTCTCAGTAAAATGTTGTGACTGTGGCATCTGTGTGGGATGTTGGCAGCATTGGGAAAGCATTACAGATTAGAGTTAGATTTCAGGACATTTCTCTTTCATCTTTAGGCAAGAATGTTCATTTCTTAGAAGAAGGTTAAGAATACTGTTTGAAATTGTTGCTTTTGGTTGATTTTATGTAATTTTCTTCCTCACATCTTCTCTTCATCATTTTAATGTAACATAATTAAAAATGTTAAGATTACATAAGCAAATTTCACTCTCCTTAAAACAATTGAGCCTAGGTTTGCCTTTTTTTTTTTTTTTGCAGAATGGAAATTGTTTTTAAGATTGTTTAAGACTGAGTAAGATAACCAAGTGGCTGGCACAGAACCTAGTGTGCGGCTGTTTTTATTTATTTATTTATTTTTAGGTTTTATTTATTAAAGAGAGCGAGAGCGAGTGAGAGTTGGGGGACAAGCAGAGAGAGGGGGACAAGCTGACTGTTGACTGAGCATGGAGCCTGACGCGGGCTTGATTGCACGACCCTGAGATCATGACCTGAGCCGAAATCCAGAGTCTGACACTTAACCAACTAAGCCACCCAGGCGCCCCGTGGCTGTCGTTTTAATGGTGGTTGGTTGCCACTAGTGATGGAAGAGGTGGCAGTAATTATTTAGAAAAAAGCTAAGGATAAATACAATTTTTTATGTTTCTCGTAGTTTCTTGTATGAGGAAGATTGCTATTCAAATATTTTTTATATATGTGATTTGCATTAAATGAATTAAGTATTTCTACTATAAACCTTTTTATATAATGGCCACAAGTTATATAAGAAATGGCATATTATATATTGATTCTACCCCTAAA